CGCCGGTAAAATGTTTTGGTCAGGAGCTGAGTAACATTCCGCTCCATCCTGGGATCCCTAGTGGCTACTTTTCTGGTGGTAACGAGTCTGTGCCTGAACGGGCCAATCTGTAATTTTCTCCTGAGTGAAAGACACACCTACTGTGATGCACGTGGATTTTGGCGCCCTTTTAAAATTATGGTGTTGGGCTTTGTAAATGGCTTCCTTTTGATTAAATTTCTGATGAAAATAAAGATGATGTCGCCTCGCAGAAAGTGCTTTTGTGCCACCTTGCCCAGGGGACAGATCCATAATTTTATCAGGACGGGAAGCTCAACAAGGTCACGCCCATGGAATTCAGGCCCTTTCGGCCGCCCTTTCGGTCAGGGCCCTTTCTGGTACTCGCTGGGCTTTGGGTACTTGTCGAAAATAAAGGTTATGGTGCCCCGAAATGGAAGCGTTTGGTTTCGCTCACCGAGTGGACCGATGCATGATTTCGTCAAGGGGTACGACACGAACGCCGTGGTGTCCCTGAAACTTGGCATCTCATAAAAATGCAGGTTATGTGGTTCCGAAATGAAGATATCTTCGCCCCTTCGCGATGACATTTGGTGCCTCTTCAGGACATGAAAACTTCATGGGGCCCAAGGGAAGAAGCATGGCTCTTCCGCATCTACATCCGCCCCTCCTTTGCGGTTCTCCAGTAAATATGTACCTCTGGAAAAGAAAAGCTACGGTGCCCGATAATGAAATTTTTTGGTGCTCCCTCGCAGAACAGGCCGACTCAGAATTTTGCCAGCATAAAAACACAGATATTGTGGTGTCAATGGATTTTGGTCTCTGTTTAAAACCAAGTTTTTGGTGAATTTGGATGCCCCACTCCGATTTCCTGGTGTCTATATCAGGCCTTGCTTTGCTGTGTTGTTTGCGTGGTGTGAGCCAAAAAGTTAGGGATATGTGAAAACCTTGCATTTGGCACACAGCTGAAGATTGCGGTGCATTTTGTAAGCAAACCAAACTTGATTCATGCAAGCGGCTGGAGTCACTGTGTCTCTCGGGCTTGAAGGTACCTGGTGCCGCTGCTCTGGTGCATACATAGGCGTGATTCAGATGTAGGTGAGGCAGGATATAGTCATGAGTGCCCAGGGCTTATGTAGCCTTGTTTGTGCTTGCTGGGTTCAAGTGAGCTCGGTTTTGGATGACACCTTAAAACCTCTGAAAGGGAAATATTGGGCTTGGAATGTGTGGTTAGACAGTAATCGGGGTAGGAGCGGAAAGTTCAAAGCTAGTATGAGGAAAAGAAGTGAAAAAAGTCCTCCTCAAACGTGTTGCTTTAACAACCCAAGATCGGCAATTCTAGGACACCGGCCAGCCATATCCAGCCACTCTGCAGCAGTTCCGTCTGATTCCTCCGTGGCAACGAATGGATCGCCAACGTTCCACTGGCTGATGCTAGACTCCTCAAGGCTGTGCCTGTCAACATCGATTATCGACTGTTCACCACGTGGAACGCGCGGGGCGAATCGGACCCGGCGGCGGTTGGCCTCGGACTTCTGTGGCACGATCTCGTCACTCCCACTGCCGCTCTCCCAGCGTGCTGGCGGCACATGTGGGGCGTCTTTATCCGAATCATTTCGACTAGCGAGTCTTCGCTCGAAGGTGTGCTGGGATCGTCCTCCATCGGAAGTGGATGGTCGGCGCAACGAAGGCATGACAAGGAACGGAACTACGACGAAGTGAAGGAATAAAAGAACGTGAAAAAACTAAATATCAATGGTGTCTAAAAAATGAGAAGACGCGGGAAGACCGATTAAAGCAGACGTATACAACTCGATTCAGCCCACAAACGCAAACCTATAAAATCAGAACCTGAAGCAAATTATAGAGACGTCAAAGGGTGAAATTCGATGGTGCATATGCGGTGAAGATACCAGAACAACCGATTAGATCGATACATACTGCAATGCGTCCAGAAACAGCGAATCTGTGATCGTTAAGGTCGAACACAAAATGGCGCTGGCAGCCATAGCCAGAGGTCGATGCTGGGCGGGGGGGGGGGAGGGGGTATGACTTGGAGCTTTCAGGAGTGCCTGACATGGAACGGCTCAGTCACGGCATGATACAAATTTGCCACCGGTAGGAGGTACAGCGGTAAAAAGAAGTAAAAAACATTTACTTGCTATTTTGGGGCAGAAATATTGTTCTCAGGTCAAAATCACCTGCATACAAAAACATCTATGTGTTTAATGTGTATATGATGCAAACATTATCAAATTCGTATTTTAAATGTATGCGTTTGGACCTAAGTTGTTGTTCAAAGGCTATATTATTGAACCTTGCAGATGCAGACATCGTTGCATGCTGAATGGTTTCAGCGCCACAGTGCCTAAAGCTTCTATCTTTCTATAAGCACATAGG